TTTTTCAGATTTCATTTCTTTAAATATGTTAATGTGGATTTTGTGGCCAATAGTGTGTTTATCTGCCTCCCATGTGCCGAGATTAAAGGTTTACACAACCACTGCCAAGCTAGATGGTGACTGCCCTTGCAGTAGCCTGGTTGGATCAGTGTGGGGACTGATAGAGTAGTATTTATTACTTATTTTTATCCTTTTCTTTTTATTCCTTTTTTTGCTTTTTATAATCTTTTCTTGCATCTGCTGAGAGTCCTATTGCAAGTTCATCATTAAGTGAAAGAAAAAACCATTCACATCTGATACCATTAGGATACGCAAAATCACTTACTATATTTTAATTGGCCAATTCAGACAATTTCCATGAAAAGTGGTTATTAACCTAATTTAAGTAGCTTCAATTTCTATTTTTATTTGTTGTTTTAATGTTTTCTTAATCTCTTTTAACCCATCCTCCATTTTTGTTGCCTTCTGCAGTTTTAATGGAACAATTTAGATACAATTTATAACAATCTCACTCTTCTCTCTAGTCTCTCTTCTCCCTCGCATGTCAATTATAGTTAATTTTAGTATTTAGCTTAGGCTGTTTAAATATAATGATTTTTTGAGATTTTCATGTATGAGTTCTGTATTTGTAACATTTCTACTCTTCTCTCTCCCCTCCAGCTCCTCCCATATCCACCCCACTCTCTCTCACATCCATTATCTCTACCTCTTTAATTACACACACACACACCCCTATAAATATAGTCTGCTGAGTACACTTATTGTTGATATTATGTGGATGTATTTATGACTAATTGTTTGGCTTACAATAAGCTGTCAGGGAGCCCATCTCTGGAGATGTTTTCATGTAGATTTAAAGCTCATCTAAATATAGTTGAAAACATTACTATATGAATATATGGATAGTACAAATGCCATATAAAAAGAGTATTCTCAAGTCTTCTTTCCTAGTGTAATTGGTTTCATTTATCTACAAAGGATAATCACCAAATTGTTTTTTACGACCAGACTATTAAGTTAAATTAAGAATAAGAAAAATTTTTATTATTTTATTGATTTCAGAAAGCTCCAGTTGTATCATTTTTCTTCTTCCTGAATTACTGTCCACCCCACATTTCTTGCATGCCAGACCTATGTCCACAACTTCACATTCTTTCGGTTTCATTAGTGTTAGAAAACTATGATTTGTCCTTTACTGAATTTTACATTGTTGCTTACTTCTTTCAGTACTTGAGTAGCTATGGACAGTAATATAGCATATTTCTTAGCATCTTTCTCTGCTAGGAAGTATTTCCATTTATTCTACTATCACCTTCTAGTATTTTCTCTGTCTTGATTTTCTGCAGTTTGAATGATATGCAGACTTGTAGAGTGCTTTGGTATTTAACATATTAAAGCACTGTGGTATACTTTGATATGTTCTCTTATCTTTCACTTATTTTACAAAAAAAAATCACTTGCCAGAACATGGTCCATGAATAATTCTCCATGAAGAGAATTCTGAGACTTGTGAGATAACTCTTAAGTAATCGAGTAATCAAGGTTACTCTTGGGATGTGCTTTTGTGCCCATCCCAGGAGTAATAAATAGGAGTGGGTTTATTCCAGATTATCCATTATTTTACCAGTTATTATAAAGAATGATGTGTCAAGCCAACTTGTCCTGCTGCCTACATACAGCCTAGACTCATGTGGTCAAACCCTTGACAGTGACTGCATATAGCGTGAAATCAAGTGAACCTTGCTCATATGATTTTGCCGTACCTTCCAAAACCCTCATAATTTGGCCTTAAGTAAAATCAGATATATTTCGATGGTTGGTTCCTCCAACACATTTTGTGCCACTATTTCCCTAGCATATCTTCCAGGCAGTCAACATTTTAAATCAAAGAGTTTGATGAAGGGAGAGTACTGTCTTGTGCAAAGTTGCTAACACATGGGGGGGTTCTTTAGGCACCAGTTCAATTTCTCTGTATTCAGGGAGTAGCATGAGTATTATCTTCAGTAATAGGGATTTGTCATAAGTTTGTGAAGAGCAATTTATAGTTGTGACAACAAAATGATTGGGGATACTCATGAAACCCTTTGGCCAACAACTCAATTAGATGTAACTCAGTCATGGTCTTGGAAGCATCATTTGGTGATAAGAGATATCCAATCGGGACTCTGTCTACCCCATTATTTGGCAATTTCATTTAGATCACCTTCATATATGCATATATTTTAGGAAGTTTCTACTATATTAGGCTTTCCTAACATCTTTTAGGTTGCGCTTAACTTGAGCTGTCTCTCCCCATATTCCCTTCTTCACACCCTCTTCCCTTTCTCTTCCTAGTTGATCCTCCGCTTCCAATGCCCTCACAATTCTAGTTGTAACTATCTATTCTAATTCCCTTTCCTAGGGACACCTATCTATGCCTTCTTCTATTGTACACCTGCCCAAGTCCATTGCTCTATATCTACCCTCTATAACTATATACATTATAGATCAATTATCATTGATTTAACAGTTAATAGCCACGTATAAGTGAGTATACACATTATCTGTCTTTCTGGGTTTGAGTTACTCATAGAAAATGACTTTCCTAGTTTTATTTACCTTTGAGTTTCATCATTTTACTTTTTAAAATGGATAAGTAATGTTCCATTGTGCAATGTACCTCATTTTCTTTGTCCATTCATCTATTGAGGGACATAAAATTTCCACTTTCTAGCTACTGCATATAGAGCAGAAATATACATGGTTAAGCAAGTGTTTCTTAAGGAAATCAGTCTGTAATTAAATTGATGTGGCTTGGATATCATGGTAATTGTGGCTTCATAAAATTAATTGGACAATGTTCCTTTTGTCTCTAGTTTGTGGAATAATTTGAGGGATATTGGCATTAACTCTTCTTTTATTTGAGAAATTTCTATTCACTAATTTCAGGTCCACAGATTACAGAGAATTCGATGAAAGTTATTCTTCATATTATTTTGGGAACTTTTTATTTCTAGTATATCTTTCACTCTTTTTGAGTTTTTAATCTGTGTTTGAATCTTCTGTATTTTATGTTATGTCACATTTCCATTATCTAAGAATATTAATCAATCATTTTAAATGGTCAGTTGTTAATTTTAAGACACCTGCTATATCTAAATTTAGTATTGATGTTGCCTCTGTTTCTTTAAACTATATTTTATTTCATGTAGATGTATGTGCAGATGTGATTGCACACTTGTATATTGAGGTCAGAAGTCAAAATCTACTACTTTCTTCGATATCTCTCCACCTTAGTTTTTGAAAAATGATTTTTTTCACTTACTAGAGCTCACTGATTCTGTTAAATGGCATTAAGAAGAGTTTCAAGTGGAGATGACAGGCTGACCCACACAACAACTACCAAGGCCCAGATCCAGGGATATGAGTTGGCTCATCCCAACATCCACCCCATCTGTGATCTGCTTGAGCATTTGAAGGGATGGGTCCTGCAGACCTAAAGTTGCAGAATCTCCACAATACAAGTTAACAACAGGATGACTAGGAAGAGTCCCAGTGAAGTTCCAGCCTGGAACCAGACCAATGACTCTTTGAAATGAACATATGCAAGTAAAGATATATATATATATATATATATATATATATATATATATATATATATGGGTTTACTTCATGATTCAGTGTGTTACTCTATGTGTTCCATGATGAAACTGATTTTTCTTTTTTCTCTTAAATTTTATTTTATTTTATTTCATTTTGGGGGGTATTGTAAAGGCAGTGGGCAGATAGGAAAGGACAGGAAAATGAATGGAATAGAGATGCATGATGTGAGAGACACAAAGAATAGATGAAAAGAAAACTCAAAAGAAAAGAAGAGCTTCAAGAAACCAAGTGTCTCTGCTCTCATCCCATGGAGTGTTCAGATTGTAGATTCACCATATGCCCAGTTTTGTCATGTGACCTAGGGATCTATATCATGTTCTCAAGATATCATGACAGGCACTTTAACTACTGAGCAATTTCTTTTCCTAAGGTGTTTTCTATGTGTGCTCCTCGAAACTCCCAAACGGATTTATCAGGTGCATAAAAGCTGAGAAAACTGTGTCTTTAGGGAACTGATTTAGGTTGAATGGGATTTGAGTTTGAATATATTACGTATGCGATATGTCATATTCAATTTTTCTCTAATTTTTTTTACCCCGGATGCCTTTTTTTTCTCTCTAGAGAATTCATAATACATAGTACCTGAAGCTTTTGGTTCTTTCAGCTATAATAAAATACTATTACACAAGGCCCTTACTCTAGTAATGGTATATGATGAGGGGAAATATTTCAAAATTCTTCTATTTTAATGCAGAAATAAAACTCCTAGGAAAAGGAACAATAGGACTCTTTTACAGGAATTCTGGTTTACAAGAAATGCAGAATTTTTACCCAAGTAACTTGATGAAAGACCGATTTTACAGCAGAAAGATTTAAGAGTATTTGAATCCCATTTAAAAATCGTCTAAGTAGGAACTTGCATAAATCATCTATATTCATATTCTTAAGAACTATTAATGATTGACTTACATAGTAAATATTCCATGCAAATAATTATCAATATATTTACCTTTGTCAATTTGTAGCACACAGAATAACCTGAAATATATTTCCATCCCTACCTTTTATCTGTATACACTGCTTGATGACTTCTCCAAAGAAACATGATTTTATATGATTTTGAAAAACATGAAGTTTTAATATAAGTCAGTATGGACCTCATCAAAATTCCTTACTACTCTGCTTAATAGCCTCACACATAGTTACATATTTTTATTTTCCTTTGCTACTATGCCTCCCCGGTTATCTGTACAGCATGAATTTCATATTTTCAAAGAAATCACTCTATTTCTTCCTATGGTTCTAAAATGTTACAATTTGTGGAAGGGAAATAGCCTAAGTGTTGCCATTCCAAGGTATCTGGAAGGTCTTGCCTTGTATTTTTCTCACATGCAATTTGGTAAGTATAGTATACATACGGTTGCTTAGCAGGTGATTCTGTTGAAGGGGGTTGAGGGTAGGAGCACCCCCAAGGCTGGTTTGGCCAGCCATTGTTGCATGAGCAATTCCATGTTGAGGTCCAGGAGCAGCAAGTGGAGATTGTATCTTTTCTTTATCCCAGGAGGATTCACTTCCACCTATTGAATAATGAAATGAAAAGATTTCAATTGAAAAATTTTACCATGAAAAGTCTTAATACACTTCAGTGTAGAACTGTGATCAAAAGTACCTCTTAAAATCTTTATTGATCTGCAAACCCACAATCCTAGTTCCAGACCCCTGAGGACCCACAAACATACTTCTATGGGGCCACCTTTCTTGGCTAACTTGAATTCCCCTTTTCTCTTTGTCTACCTCTGCAATCTGCAAACCCATAAGCCTAGTTCTAAACCTGTGGCCTGCAAACCCTACTTGGTGTGTGTTACCTTTCCTGGGTAAGTAACTTCTTCCTGTTTCCTTTGCCTTTGGTTTATCTAACCCACTGAATGTGAACTCACAAGACATAAAGCTGTTAAATCTTTTGATTTGTGAACCCTCCTTGCTTGACTTAGCTTACCCATCAACTTATCCTAGCTCAGCTCAGGTGACACATTTCTTGAATTGACCCAATTCTGAGGAAGGGAAGATTATCATATCAGACACAAACAAAGAAAGTAGTCCATATGCCCAGGTCAAATCAGGAAAACACAAAACAAAACAAAAAAACCATAGACACAACAACAAAAAATAATAGAAGCAACACCAACAAAATCATGAATGACCAAAAGAGCAGCTCTCTCAGGAAACCCAGTAGCATTCTGCAAGTGTTCTCTAATGGAAACTACCTCAACAAATCCAGGAACACATAATATTTAAATAATAATCATAAACTTTATAAATGAATCCAAGGAATTTAAAGAAGACATAAGAAACATGTCATTCAACTTTAGTAGCATAATAGTGAATGATAGTGATGGCCAAGAAAATACAATTACACACCTGAATGAAATGTTGATAAATCATGATTTATAAACTGAACTCAATAAAGAGATTGAAACATTGAAGGAAACACAATGATGAATTATAGATGGAATTGAAAAGCTTGATATTCCTATTAGAAAATCCAGGGGAAATTTTGCAAAAAGAATGAATCAGGCAGAAGATGTAATGTTAGGACTCAAAGATAAAATATACAATTTAGAATAAATAAGGAAAGAAAGAATATTTAAAAGTAGAGAATAGATCACTTTAGTGAGGAAACCAATACCCAGAAGGACAGAAGTTGTATGTTCTCTCTCATATGAGATTCCTAGTTCCAAATCTTCAGATGTGAGTACATCTCCTGGGATAACTGCAAAAATCAAGAAAGTAAAAAGGACTACTGTTGGGGTGTGGGATATGGCATTAAAAAGAGAGTGGAATAATACCATATAAGCAACATAATTGGAGAAATGGAAAAATAGGGTGCTCTAATCAGGTAAGCTGAGGAGGAAAAATACAGAAGTGGAACACAGGTGGGAAATGACAACAAGGAGGTCTGAAACTTTCATTGGGAATCAAATCATATAATTAAACGTCTATAAAAAAGAAACTATGGTACATGTAAGTATGTGTACAGATAAACATATATAATTTAAATGAAATTTTCTTACCTGATATGACATATTCCCTCCAAGAACAAAACATCATCTAATAAAAATCCCAGTAAGAGGCATGAAAAGCCCCTTTCAAGCTGTTGGTCAGGGTTGTGAAACAGACTCCCAAAACATTGCAGGCTAATGTTATTGCCTTTGGTAGTCCCCCAGAAGTGGAAGGTTAGTCCCTATTGTGAAGATACCATGGCCTTCAGACACAGGGAACAGAGATTACTGAGTTGGAACTGACCTCAGAGTCTTCAGATTAGCTTTCATGGAATCCAAAAACATTGTTTAAGTATCCAAAGCAAGGAAGCAAGGAAGAGCTTCCAGCTCTTCCAGCTGTGATTCCTATGAACCATGTTATTGACCATCATGACAAAATAAGACAAAGGGTAGAGTACTGGTATAAAAACTTTTGTGGCAAACAATAGTTCTCAAATTGAAGTTAAGGACATCTCAATATGAGGGAATTCTGGACTGTTACTGGAAACCTAGCCAACTACACAAAGATATTGATGTCTAAGACTGTGGAAGACAACTTACAACTGCAAATTTATTAAACTATCATAATGCCCAGCTACATTCAAATTATTTGTCCATATATCCATGAATAATGTAGTTTTCACCCTACATCAAATAAAAATTTTCTTTGCAACAGATGAAGATTATAGAAATCTGCAATTAATCAAAATTTAGCTGTAGATCCAGGTCCCAACTGATAAATCTACAATATAATCCTCACATGGAACATTGCAGAAGAGGAGAAAGAAATATTATAAGAGCTAGAATATTATGGGGAGCTTACTTTGAGATTGTGTTTCCCAGTAATATCAGAAGTGACATTTACAACGTCTCACAAATATAACTGCCTAAACATGAGCCACGCAAAGATGAGAATAAACCTGCTAAAGTGGATGAGGGAAAGTCCATGAGGCCTCAGTACTACAAAAAGAACTAAAGGCAACAACAGAATGCTGAGAGTGGGAGAAATAGTTTATCCAGTATTAAAATTGGCTATCTGTTCCCAAATGCTGAGCCCTGAAAATGTGTGTGTGTGTGTGTGTTATACAGATTGAGCTTGTTGTATTTATGCATTACAGAAAAATCTAGTTTGTGTGTCAAGTAGACACAATACTAGCTAGCATCCCCTAAAGACAAAATCTTCAAATTTATACCTAGAGGAGGGAGAATTCCAAATCAATGACATACACCAGTTCTTTACAAAGATCTTCACCAAACTAAGGATAACCTGTCCATACAGATTCAAAAGGCAGACATAAACCCAATAGACAAGACACAAAAAGAAAAACCCCATGAGATATCCTAGTCACAACACTAAATATCTAGAACAAAAATATTGAAACTGGCAAGAGAATAAACACAAGTAATACATAAAGGAAAACCCATCAACATAAATGCCTATATTAAAATAGCAGAAAACACAAATAAATGAGTTAAAGATGCAACTCAAGAATTTTTAAAAAAGAACAAACCAAAGACTCTATGTGCAACAAATAATAAAAATCAAGCAGAAAATAATGAGATAGAAACACTAAGAGCTTTTTTTATGAGAAGATAAACAAGATCAACTTGGCATAACTAACCAAAATAAAGTGATGACTAAGGTTAACAGAATCAGACATAAGTAGAGAAATATTACAATAGACACAAAGAAAATACAGAATATTGCAAGAGAATACTTTAAAAACCTGTCACCCATTAAGTTGGAAAACCTAAAAGAAATGGATGAATTTCTTGATTCATCCAGACTACCAAAGTCAGACCAAGAAGAGATTAACAACCTAAATAGACATATAGCAGAAGAGGATACAGATACAGTAATACAAATTCTTCTGAAGAAAAAAATCTAATTCCAGATGGATTAACAACAGAATTTATCCAGATATTCAAAGAAAAAATTACTTCTTAAACACTTCCAAAAAAAGATATGGAAGTATCACTCAAAAATCATTCTATGAAACCAATATTACTTTAATGCCCATTCCAGGTAAAGACAAAAACAAAGAAACAAAAAACAAAACAGCACAGATGAACATACATGCAAATATTTTCATTTAGGAAACCTGATTAGATTTAAGATGCACCAATGCCTGACACAGCTAACATGGCCAAGTACCAGAGACTATATAGGGCGTGGGTCTAGATGAAAATCAAATGCAATTATTGTGTTAAAAGACAGCAGTAAATGACTCCTAAGACATTGTGCTATATCCATAGGTAAGTGTCTTGTTCATCTATCATCAAAAAACTTCTTTTTGAAGTAGATGGGAACTAACACAGACACCCACACCTGGACAATGTGCAGAGAGATATTTTGGAGCATATAGTGTTAAATGTGTTGTTGTCATTAACAATTCCCTCTCCTCAATGCTGAGGGATATGATAGAAATGAGACAGAAAGATTGTAAGATCCATACTTGATAGATGAATTCAAAAGGCAATGTACCCCAGACACAACAGGACTGAGGTACATGTGAACTCACAAAGACTGTGTCAGCACCCACAGGGCCTGCCCAGGTTAAAGTCACATGGGGTGTAAACTCTCAGAGTGAGAGGTAAACAGGAGCTTCCACCACAAACCAAGAAGATTTCTGCAATTGATAACCACATGCAAAGAAAAAAAGTTAGTTTCTGTAATAGAATCCCACTAGGTATTTTAACTATGCTTTATTGGATGCCCCAATCCCACGAATGTTTGAATAGCAAAAAAGGAACACAATAATGTTTTTGTAGATTTTTTTCTTTCATATTGCTTTGCTTGAGAAAAAAGGGAGGGGGATAAGAGGAGGGGAGAAGAAGGTATGGGGGAGCTGGAAGGTTGAGTCAAGCTTAAGAATAGAGGAGAGCAGGATGAGAGATACCATAATAGATGCAGTCATTATAGGTTTTAGGAGAGAGCTAATCCTAGTGAGATTTCCTGAGATCTATATGGATAACACCAACTGGCAAACTAAATAATAGTGGAGAGACTGCATCAATAGCCCCTCCCTGATGATAAGGTTAATGACTACCTTATATGCCATCCTAGAACCTTCATCCAGTGACTGATGGAAGCAGAGACAGATACCTACAGCTAGACACTGGACTGAACTCCTGGAAGCCAGTGACAGAGATAGAGGAGTGATGAGCAAAGGCATCAGGAACATGCTGGTGACGTCCACAAAGACAGCTGACCAGACAAGGAGGAGCTCTTGAACCCCAGACTGATAGCTGAGTGGCCAACAAGGGACTGATCCAGACTTCATGAATGCAGTGTCAGTGAGGAGGCCACAGTAATCACTGGGGCCTTGGGTAGTAGTTCAGTGTTTACCATGGTTTATGAATGATCTTTGGGAGTCCGTTCCAAATAGAGGGATGCTCTCTCAGCCTGGACACATGGGGAAGGGCCTAGGTCCTGCCCTGGATGAAATGACAGACTCTGGAGATCTCACCAAGGAGGGCCTCACCCTCCCTGGGAAATAATGTGGGGACTGGGTGGGGGACTGGGGGAGGGCTGAGGG